CACTCGACCTTATCATCACTATCATTGAGGTCTAGACAATCAAAGCACTCCCTAAGATACAGGGCTACCCCACCGCCTCTCCTTCCTCGCCTGTCCCTTCTGAAGAGCTTATAGCCATCCATTGCAGCACTCCAATCGTGAGACTCATCCCACCAAGTTTCTGTGATGGCGACTAAGTCATAGCCATCCCGCTGCACAATGGCTTCCAGCTCCTCCTGTTTGCCGCCCATGCTGCGTGCATGGAGTGTAGGAGGAGCACTCCAGAGATTAAATTCACACAGCCAGGCAAGAGGTTAAAGTCCAAGATCCTCACAGCAGCTTTCTCTGAAATATTGGCTCTTCCACATTTGATGCCTGAGAGGCAGGCAGAGATCTGGAGTCTCAGTGGGTAGGTAAGATGAAAGAGAGGAAAGGTTTAAGTACCTTAATAACTGGGAAATACTTTAGATGAGAGCCATCAGCACAGGATGGCCAGACTGCATCTTAATCATAATGGAGCCAGGCTGATAGCAATGAAAATTAAAATTAAAAAGGCCATAGGGGAGTATTAAAACTGGAAGCTGCGGGTTAGCTGACAGGCTTGGGAGAGCATCTTTTTCAGATGTGTGTGACCTAGTGACCTAGGTGGACATAGCAAATGTTCAGTGCATCTGTGAAAAGGCAGGAAGAGAAATACAGTCTGCAGTTAAACTGTTCACTATGACAGCTGACCAGTGCACGCACTGCTAAGCAATGGAGTGAGGGCAAAGCTTAGAAAAATTCCAACATATTACAGAAAAAAAAAAAGTGCTGATGATCCTTGAAAGTCTGTACCACTGACCCCCTAATTAGGATGATGACAGTGATTAGGAAATGTTAAGTGAGATTAGAGGAGCTGCAAATCGATGACAAATAGTAATAGTAAGAGATTTCAACTATACACATGTACACTTGATCAATGGCTCATTAGGATGAGATACAATGATAATATTTTGGGACAGAGTTTTGAATTGCTTCCTTGGACAGCTAATTTAGGACTCACAAGAAAATATGCTATCCTGGATTTGGTCTCAAATGTGAACAGGACATAGTTTGAGAGGTGCAGAGCAGGAGAGGTGCTCTGTAGTAGTGATCATAAAACAGTGACATTTAATAATGTAGCAGAAGAGAACAGGCCAAAAAAATTCAGTACATGTGCATTCAGTACATATATATTCAATTTCAAGAATGGGAACTATGAAAAAACGAAGCACTTGAAAAACAAAAGCCAAAACCTTAAAGGAGCAATCAAAAAAGCAAGAAACCGACAAGCAGCCTGAGGGAAAATTCAAAAAGTGGGAGCCCAAGTCAAATGCATGCCTCAATTAAAAAAAAAAGTGGTCAAAAAACCCAAACAAAAAACGCTCTATGTGACTCCATGAGAAAAATAAAGAGGTTATTGTAGAGAATCTGGTATTTAAAAACTGTAAAACCTATCTGAACAAGGAAGACATGAAAGCCTCTAAAATATTCCAGGGCACACATGAACAGCACAGATGCTCCAACTGACAGTAGAAAGAACAGTGGAAGCAGGAAGCCAGCTTGGGAGATGGTGGGACTGCCTGGTGACAAGGAATACAGGGCACTCGGGGACAGTAAGGCCAAAGCAGAGAAACTCCGTGCATGCTTTGCATCCATCTTTATTGCTGAATGTATTTTTCAAAATATTCAGCATTTCACAGTTATCACAACAATTTTGAAGGATTGAAATATGGAGTGGTTTTAATACCATGTTTTCTTAAGAAAGCAATCTCACAGCCAAGGTTATTCTGTGTTAATTAATGATACAGGTGATCTTTTTACATTATTTGAGTCTCGGTTTTCTTTTAAAGTCTAATGCCAATTCTTTATTAGGATGTCCTATATTGTGACCCTATATGCTTTATACATTCAGATTCCAGGGCACTATTGATTCTTCCTTCTACCAGTATTATGCCAGTATCCTCATTTAAATCCAGACATTCCACCTATTTTTTTTTATTTCTAACATTTGCTCAGAGAAAGATATAATAATTGCTCTTCACCTGGCAGAGCACTGTTTGTCTATCATGATTAAAAAGGATTTTAAGGCAAACCTTAGACTCCTCTGAAGTATGGAGGCATTCATCTTTGAATGACACATTTAATCGCTCTCAAGGAGGAGCTTCTGACATTGAATTCCCTCAAAACCCACCAAGACTGAAGCAGAAAGATCCTACGGTCACTGATACAGCTCAAGCTCATCAACATACTCAAGTGTGTAGGTAAGCAGACATGATGGGTTTTACCTTTAATTGTTCCAACTCAAATAATTATTTAGACATTAATATACACTTTTTAATTAGTCTCATGCACACGAAGGCATGAAGGTGAACAGAATTATTCTAAAGATGCCTGGCCTGGCCTGGCCTCTCTTCTTGTTCCCCGGTCTCCCTCCTCTCTTTGTACATATTCAGAAGGCTTCTGCTGCTTCAATATTTTTTCGGCCACAGCTACTCACCATAGTGTATGAGTAAAAGTACTTATATTCATTGAAAATTACAGCGATGGTGTTTCTATCGTAAACTTGACAGGATATGGTCATAAGTATGCCAATCACAGGCCAGAGGTCTTCTCCCAGCTCCAATATCCCTTCATCTTTTTTTGTAGCAAGCATAAGAAGATTGTCACAGAAACAAGTTTTCCTTCCCCCTGCAGATGATGTTCTTTGTCAGTACTCTCCTCCTGCCTTTCCAAGACCTGGGTAGGAAGGACTCTGTCTTATGCTGCTCTGTATTGCTTCTCTGGCAAGAGCTATTTAATCCCATGGAAGACAGGGAACAGGAAATATGTCAGGGAAGAATCTTTAAAGGAAATAAAGGAAGGGAGCATCATTTTTTCCCAAAAGGAATACCCTCAAAGGAGAATCCTAGCTCTCTTTAGTTTAATACAGAGATGAAGCCCCAAGTGAAGACTGCTGTGTCCTCTATGGTCAAAAAATCCCCAACAACCTAGTTATGAACATGACAGATAGCAGCGAATACTAGATACTTATCAAACCAGAGGGCCATCCAACAAACTTATAGCCAACCTTGCCAAACAAAAGAAAGCTGTTTCACACAGCACTATTTAAGCTGTGGAACTGGTTGTCATAAGGTGATACAGAGACAAAAAAATCTGTAAATATATTCTAAAAAAGAACTAGATTGGCAGAATGATGGCAGATAGGTTGGCTTCATGTGATAAACTAACAGATTTGGTGGCCTACATGCCATTTTTATGCTAAGCTTCATAAACCATCAATTGCTAGAAAATAGAAGGAAATATCACCCTGAGTTCGCTCTGTTTCTCGTACTCCTTCCCTAAATACATCTTCTACTGGTATTGACAGTCCTTACATATGACAAACTCTTTATTGAGGATGATGGACCTTAGCTGATTTAGGAAAGATAAGTATATCATGAAACCAAGAAAATTACATTAGACACCTAGAAAAGTTTTAGCTGCCATCTATCAAAGATGTTTTCTACTCTCATGGTTTTTTTGATCAGTACTAATCCAGAAATTGCTATGGCTCAGGCATTTTCATTCAGACAATCTTCTTAGTTAGAGTTATAGAAAGCTTGAAGTTTAAAAGGATCGACAAAAATCAGGCCTATATTCTCGCACAATCTTTTCTACCATAGAAAAATACAACTCACCTGATACACAAATACATTTTAATTATAATCACTTGTGTAAATAAATTATTCCATATTTAATATATTCAAAAATTCTTTGCAAGTAGACTATTTATTTTCATTTCACTTGTTCAAGACCAAAATTGAACACCATGAAAAAATTTTTCCAGAAAAAACTTAGTATTCATTGAATAAGTCATGCACTCACCTGAAATGGCTTATTTGGTTTTCTAAAAGGGAGGAAAGTCTGTCCTTAATTTCCTCAAACCTCTCTTTCTCTTCAACAGATACTGTTCCAATTCCATCTGGCCTGTAATATTAAATATTTAATAATTGTTGATATCTCTTCATGCTGATTCCTCTTTGAACAGTGATCTTCATTTTTAAAGCTATCAGTTAACATGCATGCTAACTCTCCTTTCACCTTTCCCATTGCCTTGAAGGATAAACAGTAACTTGTGAATACAGTTAAAGAACAGACTGCAACTAGACAAACAATTTAACTTTTGAGCTGAGCTTTTAAATTCAAGCTCTAAGTTTCTACCTGATCCCAATATGAACACAAGGTAGCATTTATTTCTCCCAAATCATTCCCAAAGGTATATAATAGTACTAAGAAAATTAGTACTATTGGCACAATAGAGGGGCCTACTCGGATCTTGTTGAATTTAAACTCCTTGAGTCTTCCAGATATTTTCCCAGAGGCACAATATGGCTGAAAGTGATTTTAAAATAAAGCTGGGAGGCAAACTACAGTGAGAAAAGCCAGAGCAGGCAACACCTAGGAATCCCCCTGCTTAGAGTGAGCATAGATTTTTTGATCCCCCATCCCATATTGACAAATAGCAGCATGTAAAGAAGACTTCCATGTAAATATAGCATAAAGGATGCAAGAAATAAATAGCCCTTAAAAAACAAAAGCACTGGCATTTTTTAAACATCAAATTTAAGTCCCAATAATTAATAATAAGGCTTGTATTAAGTACGTTAAGCACACAGAGTTTTAGCCTAAAGGCATTATTAATGTATTTATATTAAAATAATGACAAAATTAAAGAAATTTAAATACACATTTTCCAAATGGTATTTTTGACATGCAATCACAACTTCCCCACATACAGCATATTTTAAAAAGAAGTATGAAAAATTCCTGTTACTTTTTTAACTTCCAGCTCCAGGGTAACAAAACAGCTACTGCTTCCCACCTGAGTTTACTACCCTGACACTAAATGTGGATCCAACCTGTACCTCCTCCAGAGCCTCCAAAACTGCATCTCAATGTTTCTAGAACTGAGAAAATTGTAGTAAAATGACAGGAAGAAAGACAACATCGTTCTGCTGAATTGTTACTTTAACTTCCTCCACTATACTTAAATCTAAGAGGCATAAGTTGCTAGCTGGTCATGACATAAACAATTCTCTCACCCCTTAAATCACTTATATTCGTGATCTGTCAAGTCAAGGTGGAAAGAATGCCTGACCTCCTTAAATTATTGTGAAGACAACAATAAAAATCAGATATGGTGGAGATATGAGTAACCAGGCACATCAATATACTATTGTATAAATTTGATGTGAAAGAACAAATAACTTATCTTCTCTCTTTTGATGGATGCCAGGATACTTTACCTCAGCCTTCTGACAGATGGAACGGGTTCAAATTTAAGTAAATTGCACTGTCTGACTTCATTGTCAGGAGAGATCGTGCTCTGGAGTGATAAAGCAAATAGTTCTGTCATATTACACCTCACTGAGGCATGTCATATACATGACAGAAAAGACCTAGGGGTCCAGATAACAGTGAGTGAAAAAGGTGAGCCAGTAGGATGTCCTATCTGTCAACCTGCACTAAGGCTAGGATCACTACATACCGGGGACCTGTCACTTCACTGAGTTTGTTGTTATAAAGAATCTTGCTGACAACATCTAAAATTTTCAGAACTGTTAAATATATTTTCAGTGGATGTTTGGATAGAAGCAAATGTCCCAGAAGAAAAAGAAAGAGTACACAAAAAGGTGTTAGAAAAATGTACCATCTACAGCACTGAAAAACTTGTCTCTTGAAAACATGCTTTTATAAAACAGCACAAACTCTGAATCATTATTTTGTTTCTTCCTGTTAGCCTTATTGCAACAAGTAGAATACCAAAATTCTGCATTTTTGCAACATAGTTCTGAGACACATATTGTGCTGGTGATCATTTTTTGCTACTCTTGGGAATGTCTATCTACTACTGAGAAAAAAGAATCCACACAAAAAATAATCTGATTCTGAGATGAGCTGAGATAGAAAAAATACATAAATAGTTTCAAAATTCCCACTCATTTTGTCTTCTACATCTTCTTCTTTAATTGCTTAAAGACAGAATAAAATAAAATAGCACTGTTTTGAGCTGGTTATTTTTATTTATAAATTACTGTGCCTGTAATCAGAAAAATCAGATTCAAGCAGTCATTTGGTTTTCAAAGGTTTAAGTCATCCATAAACTATGCAAGAACTATTTTGCAACTAAAACCAACAACAAATGCACCTTTCCTACTATCCCAAATGTTATGGATAGTGGTTTGGACTTGATTTTTTCAATTCAAAACCAGTATTCAGCTTTCTTATTGCAGCCTGAGACCTCTCTCTCAAGAACTCAGCCAAGAAAAGTGATGGACTGTTTTAAGAAGAGTTTTCATTTCAATATTATCTTCTGAAGAAGGTAAAGGGAGAGTGAATTTTCCTTTCATTCACATTCTCTTCCTCCTTATTCTTCACAACTGCTTTTGGGACTAGAGAACTAGGTGAAACCGTGAACACTCAAAACCTGAGTAGCCTTCTCTCTCTCACTTATACTAGTTTTCCATTTTTTGAGAACTCTGTCAATTAATTGGATTTGGATTGGCCTGTCTTGTCTGCTTAGATCACAGTCTAACTGGCACAGATGCAATGTTGTCTCTGGTCACATCTCAAATTGTTTAATTCATTCAGACTTAAATATCAAAAGAGATTTGAAATAAATATCTCATGAACGAGAGATAGTAAATTCAAGTGGGAAGTAGTTGTTCGACCGTAAGACACTTTAAATAATGACACCAAAAATGGAGGTTGACCAGAATTTTTAAAGAAACTTTTACTGTGACAATCTTGCAAGATTGCTGTCCTGATGGCAGTTACTCTAGGGAAGCTGATTGATTAGGTGGTGGATTTAGGTTTTCCTCTGGGAATGGACTGTTTTCCTCACTTGATATAATCCTTCAAGGCTTGGAGTACCCTCTAGAAATACTTTGATGTCTAGAGGTCTTAAAACTTGTAATAATTTGCAGAGGTAACTTGACACATTGCAGGATTAAGATTCTTGTGAATAGTTCTAGCACGTGAGATAAAAATGGTATTCCAGTTCCAATGGGAATTAGGTATCATGGACACTGGGTTGACTGTAGATTGTTTCCAGCCCTCAACTTTAGAAACAGCTTCTCCTAGTGGCCTCTCAGAGAGTGAATTGTTACCTTAAGCAAGACTTTGGTTGACACAGCCTTGCGAAATACTAACTGAACATGACTGACTTTTCTTTTTTCCTCTGGAACATCATCGATACTGGTGCTTTTTGCATATTCGTGTATTTTACAAACGTTTAAAGTCTTTTCAATAAGCTTTCGTCATTAAAAACATAGACCATCACTTTGGCCTGTCATGAAAAAAAAGAGTATGAGGAGAGGAATGCACAGATTGATATTCTAACATGTACACACACACATAGATGAGAACAGTAAGGCTGACCAAAAGAATCTGCCAGAGAAAGATGAGAAATCGTGATGAAAAACAAAATGTAAGAAAAATACTTCAGCTAAGGTCTTACTTCAAGACATTTATATAATAAACTACATTTCAAGGGCGTAGGAAAAACAAAAACAAAACTCAAATGTCATCTTGGCTCCTAGAAACAAATTGTTTAAGAAGGCTTCAGTGCTTTCTAAGAGCACTTGTTCAGCAGGATGCACAATAAAATGAAAGAACAGTGACAATTTTCAAATCAGCAAGATAAAAGTTTGACTACTTGTTTCTTAGTAAACAGAAGATTAAATTGTTTAGAATTTTGATGTAGAGATTTGATTATCTATTTATAGGGCTTTAATACCCAAATTTTGCTTTAAAACACAATTGTATTAATTAAGGCTTTTGCAGAGTCCATGGTTTATGTTAGACAAGTCTAAGAAAAACAATGATTTACATTATCAACTTAGAAGCAGGCAGAGCAGACGTCTTTTTATTAACAGAAAATGAAGAGAACAAATTATCACGTGGCATTTAAACATAGCTTTAACCAGCAGGCACTTGAAGACCGAGCATTTTGTTGTTTATGTTAACTATTCTTCAAACATTCTGACAAAAAAAATGGCACAATAGAGCCTTCTGTTGTATGCATTTCTCAGGCTGATCCTACATCTGCTTACAGGACATACCCTCTTTTTCACAAGTGAACGAAAAATACCAATTCTGAAGGCCGCTAAAACAGACTAAGATGATAAATCAAGTTAATTTTAATGATCTTTTATGCATTTATATTTTAGGTGGGATTCATTAATGCCCTTCTAATGAAAACCTAAGCATGTACTAATATAATATCATTTTACCCAAAGTATAAGGGTAAGTATAGGCATTAATCAGTTGAAATTAATGACAAAACAATGTATATGTTTAGGGAAGGTGAGAGTATGTAATAGCATTAGCTGTTCCTTCATTGCCTAAGATGGCAAGTATCACCTTAAATATGCAGAATTTTGTTCTAATATTTCTTAATAATGTGTGAATTGTGATTAATTTTCTATTGACAATTTCTCTGAGGCTTTTCAGAAGCAGATTTGTTTTGATATGTTGAAAAATGTGCCTCTGTTAATATTGTAGTGAGGACACATTCTATTATAACATTATTATAGTTATTAGTAGTTTCCAACACAGGACAGTATCCTTCCTTAAACCAAAGGTGAGGTCAACATGGCTTCACTTGGTACCTGTAACAAGGTGAAGAACTTTGCTTCTAGCTTTGAACTCAGGAGATCTCTACCGATAACTTTCTTGTGGTTATTTACAACAGTAATATACAGAAAGCTCTGTCACTAATTGAACAACACATTAAAAAAACCAAACTTAACTATTTAGAGAGGCCTCACATCAGAGGCTTGGGGGTATGATGCTCATAAGTGAACCACTTAAAAAGGAGAATACAGATTAAATTAAAGAAGGTTTACCTTCCTCTGTGCTCCATATACCTTGGAGATGATCAGCTTCCAAAAATGAAGGATGAACTGGATGATGCAAGATGCTTG